ATCAGCGATTGATGCCTCAACTAGTAAAAGGTTGCATTGAATAAGAAAACTTTTTTTCAAATAGAGTAACAAAACAATAGAACGCTCTTTCACAGCAAGCAGTTGATTCACCATCTGTATATTTTTTTAAAGAATTTTTATTGTAACTTTCTTGACCAACTGCTTTTTGCAGCTTAACTGGGTCAACATAGGGGAGCCTGATGTAGCTCTTCTTCATTGGTTTAAATTACATTTACACTACAAGATGTACATAGAAGTATTTTTTATATCCTTCAATAAACATGATAGGACATGGGCTATTTTAATGCACTCTTGTATTTATATGGAATTATTTATACTAAATTTGAAATAAAAAATGAAATAAAATAAAATAAAAATAGCAAAAACATTTTTAAAAGCGAAAAACTTTTTAAAAAATATTTTTGCTATATTTGACATTTATTATAAAAGTCAAAAAATTAACAAAATTACTCATAGTTTAAGCATATATAGCAAATTAGTTTCTTAATTATACGGACTGATAAAAATCATGAATAAATTGTATATCAAAACTTTTAATTGCTGTTAAATTTTTATAATATCAGGGCTCGAATTGTGTATTGTGATTGCGAATCACAATTACTTTTCACACATTCGCGAATATATATATATTTTTTTAATATTACATAATTTTTTGGTTGTTCATTTACTTTTTTCTAGTTAAGCATTATTTGGTATTTCTTAAAAGTAATGTTTTTGTCATAAAGTACATCATGCTAAATTTATCTTCTGAATATACGATCATTTGCTTTTTCGCACGGAGATTTTCTTTCAAAGTAAAACATTTTTGAATTTAAATTACTTTAAATCTCTGCGTGGAAGCCAATTATATTTAAAGGTCGTTAAAGCAAAAAGTTGAAAAAGGAAAAGATGTTAAAGCAAATTTTATTTTCATTCTTTTTTTTTATATATTAGATATATAAATATATATCAATTTGTATATATAAAACTTAAAGAAATATAATTCAATTTATTAAACCAAATTTTCATTGTTTCACTATTTATTGGAAAACAATTTGAATAAAAAAATTGAATGAAAACATCAATTTAAAAACCATTTGAATGGGGGGTGAAGCAAAAAGTTTTTGTTTTTTTGCGATTAGATTTTTTTGCGTTAATTCGAGCCCTAAATATGTTTTTTTCATTAACTTGTATTAAATTCAGTAGCTAAAAGCAACTCTCAAAAAGCAACAACCACTCTCAAAAAAGCAACAACCACTCTCAAAAAAGCAACAACCACTCTCAAAAAAGCAACAACCACTTTCAAAAAAGCAACAACCACTCTCAAAAAAAGCAACAACCACTCTCAAAAAAGCAACAACCACTCTCAAAAAAAGCAACAACCACTCTCAAAAAAGCAACAACCACTCTCAAAAAAGCAACAACCACTCTCAAAAAGGCAACAACCACTCTTAAAAAAGTAACAACCACTTTTAAAAAAGCAACAACCACTCTCAAAAAAGCAACAACCACTCTCAAAAAAGAAATACAAAAGTTGTATAAAAATTTTATAGGAAATTTTTTTTTATAAACTTTCTTTTTTAAATTATTAAGTTTTCTAGTTTATTTAATTAAAACTTACAATTGTTTCCTTTTTTTAAAGATTGTTTTTTTTTTTTCTCAGTAGATAAATATAGTTTTTTGCCGCGAATTATTGAAATGCTTTATAAGTTAAAAGATGCGACTGCCGTGGTCAATGGGTCTAAAAAAATTATTCAAACGTGAACAAACAAAACATGTGACCGCATGCGCTTTTTAGGAAGGCTTGTAACTTGTAAAAATGTTACTACTGAAATAATATCTAAAATGTCATAACAAATAGTTTGATGGATGAAATAACATTGAAAAAAAATATTATTAGAGACACCCAAAATTATGAAAGGCATAGTAAACAACAGGATTTGATATTTGACTAGGGCCAGGGCCAGGTTTGATAAAATATAGCCGGGGTCGGGTTTGTGACCGGGGCTGCATAAACATTTATACATCCTAAAGTACTTTTTATCAAAATTTATATTTGATTTTGTATATATATGCATTTATAAACATCATTATGATCAACATGATGATCATGACCATCATCATCATGATCATCATCATCATAATCATCATCATCAATATCATCATCATTATTGTCATCATCATCATTGTCATCATCATCATCATCATCATCATCATCATCATCATCATCATCATCATCATCATCATCATCATCATCATCATCATCATCATCATCATTGTCATCATCATCATCATCATCATCATCATCATCATCATCATCATCGTCATCATCATCATCATCATCATCATCATCATCATCATCATCATCATCATCATCATCATCAGGGCTGTGGAGTCAGAGTCGGAGTTGCAACAATTTTAGTGGAGTCGGAGTAGCTAAACAAAATCGTGACTCCGACTCCATTAGTAAAACTTCTTGGTATTGCACGTGCATGTACAAAACATTCAATTAACATTATGCTCATACTAAACCTCAAAGAACGTTTCATAAATTTGTCAAAAAAAAAAATTTTAACTTATTTCGTAATATTTTTTGAAGATATCAAAGAATTTTTCAAAAATTTTGCTTTGAAGTTGGAGTTGTACTCAAAAAATTTCAACAACTGGAGTCGAAGTCATTACTTTTTTTTTACAACTCCACACCCCTGACCATCATCATCATCATCAGCAGCAGCAAGCTTTAGTCTTCCTTTTTTATGCTGTTTCTCTTATCATAGTCAATGCTCAAATGAACTATTATCTCTATTACAATAAACCAAAACTTATTCTTGCTTGGCTTCTTATTCAACAAGTTGCATCCTTTTATTGTATCTGTCCCTATTTATTAAATACTGGCATAAATATATGCCAGAATTTAATAAATAATAAATTCAAGTATAAAATCATAATATACAAAGAATTATAAATTCATTTCTAGCCCCAGCTATCAACCCCTGCTAAACTTTTAACTTTGCCAGGGCCAGATTTGCAAAAAGTCTCATTAGCCGGAGCTGGGGCCCCGGTCACTTACTATTCAGGCAGGCATTCAGCAATGCAGAGGTAAAAATTAACACATCTTTGCATTCTGATTATGTGATTAAGATGGAATTTCTAGCAATTTTCATTGATGATTAATCTATGCACATATAAAATTGATAACACGCACATACAAATTGATAATTGATCTATGCACATATAAAAACATATAAAATTTACACTATTAAATTTTCAAGGAAAAAAAATTTAATCGAAAAAAGTTTAAAGTATTTTGGTCTTATAATGAAAACTTAAACTTCTTAAAATTTAAAAAAATAGTAAAAACTAATATTATTTTTAAAACTATGTAATTCTACTAGGCATTCCAATGGATTTTTATTGTCAACACATTTTTATATGATTAACATAGATGTAAAGAGCTTAAAAAGACTTAAAATGAGGGATCTTTCAAGCTTTGAAGTTAAGTGGATCCAAAGGTATTGCAACTTTTGTGCTAAAAAAAACTGATGGTTTTTTGACAAAATACCTATTAACTTAATAGGCATTTTGTCATATTGCCAAGTTCTTCGTTTGCCGCCTTTAATCTGAAATCAAAGTAAGTTTTTAATTATTCATTTAATGTCATAACGTAAATTTAATATCATAAGGTTTTATTGGTGTTTATATTCTTTTTACAGAATAAAATTATCTCTAATATTATAAAGGTTATGTTTTAGTAACAGCAAAATTTTATTACTTAATAGTATTAAGTATTAAAATTTTGCTGCTACTAAAACATAACTTTTAAAATATTAGAGATAATTTTATTCTGCAAACAGAATATAAACACCAATAAAACCTTATGATATTAAATTTACGTTATGACATTGAATGAATAATTAAAAACTTACTTCGATTTCAGATTAAAGGTGGAAAATGAAGAACTTGACTAAATTTTGGTAATTATTTGTTACTTTTTATAAAGTAAAAAAATATATTTCAGATATTTATTATTAAATTATACACATACAATTACTATAAATCAAAAGAATTTTTACTTAATCCTAATTGTTAACTGAAACAGGCTTAAAGACAGTAAAGCAAATTGCATTATTTTACTCATAAACTATTTAAGGTCATGTGATTGTTTTAAAATGAAAACAAAAATTTACGAATATTACTAGATAAATCTTTTCGAAATCATCCAAGTTTGAAAACATATTTGATAACATAGCTAGAGGTACAGAAATTTTTTTTTGATTTTCATATTTATAAAAGGTTGAAGTACTACTAATTTCACAGACTATTCAAAAATATTATGTTTTTTATTCAAAATGAATAAAAACAAAAATATAAATGCATTAAAAACTAAATTTTTGTAAAAAAAAACTTTGGAAATCTAGATAGAACAGACATTCATTAACAAGTGTTCCAAAATTCAACAATCAATGTAATTATGTTATCAAATTTTAAATGGTCTAAGACAGGTTTTCCATAAAAATTGCAAAAAACAGAATAGTGATCCTAAATTAATAAAATATTTTTACAACTTTTATTTTATTTCATTTAATGTAAATATTTATTAAACAAGGAAAGTTAAATCTTTTTTTTTTTTTTTTATTTGAAGACGAAAGCAAAGAGAAAAAAAAAATACTTTTTTTTTTGATTAACTTGTGATGTCAGGCTCACTTTTATATTGATTGAAACAGCATAATAAACATAGCACTTTTTAAATATGGTTGGAAAAAAGTTTAATCAAACAACTTGACTCAAAAATCCTCAAGGTTCTAGTTTAATTATAAAAAAAGATGTAAGAGAGTAAAGTTCATGAAAATCATTATCAAATATTTTTCATTGCAATGTGGAATCATTAACTCTACAACATTTTAAAATGTTGTGATGTGAATGCTATATGAATAAAAAAAATATAACAGTAGTTAAAGATACATTATAAAAAAAACAAATTAAAAAAAAAAAATGCTCACATCTCGCCTTCCCATTAAATCTTGTGCCATGCTGACATTTTGATTTATTAACGATAGCAATGGAAATGCCATTATTTAATGCTAAAATAATTGTTTTATATAAAATTACATTTTTAACCATTTAAATTAGAATATGAACTGATTCAGATTATATGAAGCCCTTAAACAATTTAGAATGAAGGGCTTTTATATCTCGATGGATAATTTTTTGCATTTACTAGCTTTAAATAAAACTGTATAAATACGAACCATACTAGTAAAAATAAAAAGCTACTTAAATAAATAAAATACTACCTAAAAAACTAAAAAAAAAACACTTAATTTAAATGATTAAAAATAAGTTTTAAAAATTTCTTATAAATTAGTAAAACAGTACTGTGGTGAATACATTCATTTTGGCGTAAAAATTGAATCGCAGCGGACCTCATAGTAGTACAGTAATCCGTCACATATCAGAATATGTGAGCCGTGAACTCACACGCTATCAAAAAGACGAAAACATGATTATTTTTTTTCTGTTGTGTAGGGTGAACTAAATTTTAATCAAATCTGAAATATATTCTAAAAAGTTGTTACATTCAAGGAAATTTACATATGTAAATCGTAAAAAACATATATAAATCGTATATATAACATCTTATTCCACTTTTTTTTTGTACTTATTTTTTGTTAAAACGAAATTCAAAATTTTTGCTTTGATTTTCCTTCAGTGCAGCGTCTAAGGCTACAAAAATGAAATTTACTTTGAAAAACACCTTTGCCGACTTCACAGGTTCATCTTTCATTTGCAGACTTCACAGGTTCATCAATTACCTTCAAAAGAAAATTGCCTTTTGATCTTGCTTCGCCTGTCAACTTCTTTTTATAACTTTGTATCGATTATCAGTTTTCGTCCAGTTCCATTGCATCTGTAATAACACTACGCAGCCTAGTTTTCTATTTCATGTTCTTCAAAACAGTCTCGGTACTTTCAATTAGTTTCAAAGCATTAGCTTTGATTAACAGTTTTCATCTTAAGTGTTTTGCTTACTAAATTAAATTTGAACAAGACATAATACCAAGTGACCAAACAGCAGAGGAATTTAAAATCTCTAGTTTTCAAATTCCTCTGCTGTTTGTAGAAGTGCTGTATTATTGACAACAAGGTTTAGTGAATGGCATTCACAAGAAACAAAAAATGCTCGTGTGTTAAGGTAAAGAATCTTTTTTTGTATGAAATAAGTCTAATAAACCTCCATTCTTTCTCTTCATGCTTGATCCATTATCATACCGTGGCCACGCATATATTGTAAGAGTATTACTGTTTTTTGAGATCTTGTCTCACAAGCTATTAACCCTTGCTCAGATGTATCTTAGACCTGAAGAAGCTAAAAAAATGTTTTCTCACGTTTACATCGTCTCCTGCAACTGCATAGACAAACAGAACAATAAATATAAAAAATTATGCGTCAATATGCAGTCTAGAATTATGGAATAATACAAAGCTTACTGCAGTTCATACAAGATAAACTCAGCAGAAATAGAATAAACTTTACATTAACAAAGTCTAATAAACCAATTTTTAATATTTTTGCTTAATCATGTACATCAGCTTGATTTGCAGTTATCCGATGAATATGTTCAAAAGAACAATTTCAAATTTTGTAATGTGTTTAACAACTTTTAAAAAAATTCCATTATTTACTGTGAAAACTGTTCTACTTGTTCCCCAGCAAGCACAATCAACGTTGAAACAACGTTGAAAAACCGTTGAAAAACCGTTGATATTTATGGTTGGAAAATGGTTGATTTTTGGTTGAAACGCAAATCAACGTTGAAAAAAAAAACGTTAGATCAACGTTGAAAATAAACCAAAACTAAACTCATCAAAAATCAATTTATATACGAGTTTATAAACTCAAAAATACAGCTTTTTGCGCCGTGACTCTTTTAATTCGAAAAAACATTTATTTTTTGTACAATATTGTGTTGTTATGAGTAAGAAAAGAACAGTAATTCTTCATAAACTTATAATAGCTGTCATAGTACAATATCTTATGCTATTGTACTGCACATCTTGTTCTCAATTTTTACAGCTTTCACTTATTATTATAAGTAGTATTATTAGTTTATTTTATATTATAATACTAACTGTTGTTATAGTATTACAAATAATCTGTCCTGTCCTTTTTTTAACACAAGTAACTAATTAATAGAAATTAAAAAGCAATTATTGAAAGCAAATAAAACCAAAAAAATAATTTATACATTTTTAGAACAAAAACTTTTACAAAATTAAAGTTATTTTTAAAACAATCTTGATAAAATCATATCGTTATCTTCACCACCAATATTAAATTCATATTTATTTTTATCGCCTTCTGTTATCGGACTCATTTTGATTTGATGCACATTTTGCCACGATCCAATCAATATAGTGTAACCGTCAAACAGTCTAAATTCTATCTTTGTTCAGTGTCGTTTTAATTAAGAACATCAGGTAACTGCATCTAAATAAAAATATCTTTAAGTAAGGTACATTAGTACATTTTACAAGTATTATTATACTTCACATTGTCACAAGTGAATGTGAACATTAAGTGATCGATAGTAGGAAAAAAAACAACCCATTACTGATCCGTGCCTAATTTACTTCATTATTGATCAAGATATCAAACTATTTGGATAGATACATTATACTCAGGCTTTCACAAAAAGACGTGCGACTTCACGTCTTTATATGACCACGCAATTTACATTTTGCTATGAAGGTTTGAACGCGGCTAATTCAAAAAACATTTTAGAAATGTGCTAAATAAAAAAGTAAAATTAATTACACCAAAACTTCTTAACAAATGTTTTTATATTAGCGAAACGATTTTAAATAAAGTAACAATTTACTGAAAAAAAGTTTTGTTTTTTAAATATAATTGACAGTTGTATATATTTTTTTAATTCAAAACATATAAACTAATTAAGTGTTCATTTCTAAAATAAATCTTATTAAAAAATAAAAAATTGTTTTGTTTTTATAAACAATGACATTCTACAACTACAAAAGTCTCTTTAACGAATTTAAATATAAGAATGATTAAAGTTAATGCATTTAAAAAGATAAACAAAATTTCGTTAAAAAAAAAAGTTTTAGAAAACCGTTACAATTTAATAAGTTTGATCTTAAATGCTTTTATATTGTCGAAACGCTTTTAATGAAGTAAAAAAAAAAACACTTCTAATTAATTTTAAAAAAATATTAATAAAATATTTTTTTTTTTATTTATATAACTATGTATTTTTTATGAGAAATATTTAACTTTGAACATATTAAATAAATAAAAAATATATAAAAATGTTAAAACAAAGATTGAAAAAGTATTTAAATGCGTACATTAAATAGACTAAGCATTTTAGTTTGATGAATTTTGTTTATTTTTTTGTGTTTTTGCTTTAGCTAAGTATTTTTATTTTATTTTCTCATTTGTTAATATTTATTATTTTTTTAATTTTTTTTTTCAGATAAGTTTAGGTAAGTTTTTGTAGCGCGTTTTTAAATTTTAAAAATATGCCGTGGTCAAATTGTTAAACCATTTTTTTTTTTTTTTTTGCGTGGTCAAATTGTTAAAACATTTTTTTTGCGTCGTCAATTCTGTAACCTCAGGGGTTCCTCAAGGTTCAATCCTTGGCCCTATACTCTTTTTAATTTACATCAACAATCTTCCAGATATTCTCACATCTAAGGTGGCATTGTTCGCTGATGATACCATTATTCTTTATTCTATTCTTCATTATTCTACCATTTATTCTTGTCACGAGAAGAAGCCAACTCCCTCTGATTGCTTGCAGGGGGCATCTGAGCTTTAAAAGGATCTCACTTCTGCTACAGCATGAGGCTCACAGTGGCTGGTGAACTTTAATTCAGATAAAACTCAATTTTTTTCGGCCAATCGTTATCGCAATAGTTTAGACCTTCCTATATTTATGAACGGTAATGTACTCGATGAGTCTTCTACCCTTCATCTTCTAGGATTAACTCTTACTTCTGATCTTTCTTGGAAACCTTATATCAAATCCGTTGCAAAATTAGCATCTGCTAAAGTTGCTTCTCTTTATCGAGCTCGACACTTGCTTACTCTAGATTCTATTCTCTATCTCTATAAATCGCAAATCCGGTCTTGTATGGAATACTGTTGCCATATCTGGGGCGGATCTTCTAATGATGCCCTTTCTCTTTTAGACAAGGTGCAAAAACGCATTGTAAACATAGTTGGACCTGCTCTTGCAGCCAACCTTCAACCTCTGTCACATTGTCGTAATGTTGCTTCTCTTTCTCTTTTCTACAAATACTATAATGGGCACTGCTCGAAAGAGCTAGCGTCTCTTGTGCCATCTACTAAAACTCATTCTCGTGTTACTCGTCATTCAATTAAGTCTCATCCTTTTTCTGTTACTGTTCCTAAGTGCTCAAAAAAACTCTTATTCGTCTAGTTTTTTTCCTCGAACATCAGTTCTTTGGAATTCGCTTCCTTCATCTTGCTTTCCTGATTCATATAATTTGCAATCATTTAAGTCGTCTGTCAATCGTTATCTTGCTCTAAAATCTTCATCTTTTCTCTTCCAGTAACTTCCAACACTAATTAGTGGTTACTTGCAGCCTTGTTGGAAGCGAAGATAATTAAAAATATATATATATAAAAACATGAAATCGCACGTCTTGCCTGATTATACATCAACATTATACATCAACGCATATACACACATAACACAAGCCTTTTAGGCAGTTATACATTGCTTAAGTCAACCATTCGTATAGAAGAACCGTTTTCCTTGATGCCATAGAGGATCAAGATATCTTTAATTTACTGTATTTATATACATATATATGTATATAATTATATGTATATATACATAAATACAGTGCTCGAAGTGGAGAAAAAAAAGTAACGGGATGGTATTCGGTAAATTAAAAATACCATCCGATCTAATCATTGTTATATAGAGATTTACAAAAAAGTGGCGGGATGGTTTATACTTTATAAAAAGGTGACGAGAAGGCATCCCGCTTCATTCTGCCTCACTTCGAGCACTGCATACATAATATATAATTAATTATATATATATATATATATATATATATATATATATATATATATATATATATATATATATATATATTAGGTACGTAGCATGAAAATTTTAAATTAATTAAACATTAGATTGTTATATATCATTTTATATATCCTTCAATACAGTATTCTAAAAGTGAAAAAATTATCAAAATCGAGCAATTTGACGAAAAGTTATAACGTTTTAAGTACCGAATTTTCGATATATAGATTTGTTGAAGAAACTGTGGTCAAAATAATATTTTTCTTGACTAAAAACATCATAAACTTGTCAATTCTTATCTAAATGCCTATAACTTGGTATCAAAAGATAGGTATTAGAATAGGCTACAAAATTATATTGGTCGCTAGCCAAAGGGCGTATCCAGGGGGGGGGGGTTGAGGGGGAACCGAACCAACAGCTTATCCGGTAATAAATGCAAATTTTTATAAATAAAAGGGTAATTTTTTTTGGAAATTTTTAATTTTCATATGCAAGAAGTAGTTATAATTTGCTTCAGACCATTCCAAATTAAGAGAAGTTTATTATTGTGTTATGGTGGGTGTAAGGGTGTCGGTTTAACACACCCATTAACTAAAAATTTCAATAAATATTTTTATCTTTATTAAAAAAAAGTAAGCAAAATAAAGTAAGTAAAATAATAAATACAAAAATTTTTGTTTTTTTTAAATTACAAAAATTTCTCGTCTGCACATTTAGAATCAAGGGTAGGGGTGTGTGCCACAACGCCCTCCAACCTAAAATAAGAATTAAATTTTTGTAATGCGATTAAAAAAATTTAAATGCTATTGTATAAGATAATAAAAATTATTATAAAAACATATTTTACCACATTACAAGATGCATCATTTTACCACATTATAAGATGTTGCCATTCTTTCTTTATATCAGCGTTCGAATACCTAAAATAAATATTTAAAAATAAAAATACTTTGAATTACAACAAATACTAACTTACGTCTTGGCTTTTAGTGAATGATTAAAAGTTTATGTTTCACAATGAAACTAAATAACAATCATTTTTAATAATAGACACGACAAGAATGTAATCCAGAGCCGTCTATCAAAAAAATTGCAAATCATACCAATTGCAGTACCTTTTCTGTAAGTAACACAACTAGTGGTACCTATTTTGTAAGTCATACCACTTGCATTACCATAATTGCAAGTCACACCACCTGCGGTATTTTCTATGCAAGTCACACCACTTGCGGTTTCCTTTTGGCAAGTCACACCATTTGCCATTACTATTTTGCACTTGTGGTATATTTTTGCTAGCCACACCATATGCGGTACTTTAATTGCAAGTCACCACTTGTTGTATCTGTTTTGCATCAACAAAATTACCTAGTATTGAAAATAAAAATTATATTTTACTACTTTATAACATACACTAGTGGCCTACATGTCAAATCAATGAATGGGTTCCCCCCCCCCTCTTTCCCTTGTAATCCAAAAAAACATAAAAAAGTTTCAAAACAAAAGGAAAAAACTGCGATTATGAAAAAAAAAAAAAAAATGCTATTTAAAACAACAAAAACAATTTTAAAAAATATCTCACCACATTAGATGCAAAAAAGTATCTGTTTTTTCAATACCTTTTTGCAAGTCACACCACATGCAATACTTCTTTTTCTATTAGACAGTAACATTAAAGCACAATAATATTGAGTAACATTAAAGCATATTAAATTAAGAAAATATCAACTCTCCTGATACAATATCAGTAGCAAGTTGGAATTTTTACATGTAATGGTCAACAGTTTCATCTTTTTTCCAGAAGGAAATAGTATAAATTCTGTCTTCTTTTCTTTTATTGACTTTTTCTACTTTCCCATCATAAATGACAGACTTGCTATTATCTGTATCAAACCATTCATGGCAGAGTTCTCTTCCAACAATTCTTTCATACATTAAATCATATAATTCATCAAGTTGCTTAGTAGACAAGTGCTCATATAAATTCTTTATTTCATTAAAAGATAGCGAACTCAGCTCTCGCTCCGTTTTCCTTTTTTCTTTTTCACCCATCTTTTGCCTTTTGTTTTTCTGTCTTTTTGAAATCTCTGCTCATAATGCAGTATAATTCAGTCAATTTGCTATTCTTTTTATACGAGCTGCTTTAATAAACCATTTAACTACATTTTCTCTCTCTATTTGGTCAAGACTATCAAGATAATCTAGTCATATTCTATTTAACAAATAGTTGCATTAGGGATCTCCCTTTAGCTTCACTAAACATACCCATCAACTCTTCACTTTCTTAATTTATCACTATCAAATTAAAATTAGTCATCCATGGCCCACTGAGAAGTTTTCCAAATAAACCACGAATACACAGTTTTATAGCAGTTGTGTTACAAAATACAGTAGTGTTGAAAATTGGAATAAATTGAAGTCATATTATCCACTGCATTACCTATATGTTTTTCATAATCATCAGACAATTATAATCAAATTTTCATCATAATCAGACAATTCAGGCAATTGGTCCAAAGCAATGACCTAACATTTATTTTTTGACCTTAAGTGGACACTATTAATATGAACACCTTCCTGCATGGTGGCGTCAAACCCAAGAGTAATATTTGTATTGCAGATGGCCCACTCTGCAGCTTGCATGTCAGATATGCAACCAACCTCATGAGCCATTTGCTCAACAGTAATACGCTTGGGAATATGCAACAAACCAACACTAAAATATTGTGCAGTTTTTTCCAATAGGAGAAGAATGTTACCTGTTGGAACATTACACAATAAAATGCTATAGATTATCATTCTAGATTGTATTTAGTAAGCTTTATTATCTCCTGACGTAACTGAAGCAATACAATCAACCTCCTCCATTTAGGTCATATCATTTTCTAATCTAGCAATTTCAATTTTAATTTCTCTACTAACAGTATTATGTTTGAGCATTACTTGTCTTAGCTGTTCTCTAACTTCAATTTTTATTTCCTTTTTTTCATTACAAGATTGTGAATATACCTATTGCAGTAACATGATTTAAATTTTTTGTTTCAAGTTTCTAACTCCAACTCTCGAAGCTTTTATAATTTCTTTTTTACTTTAAATGTCTTTAAACTTTTATTTTGTAGGGCATGTTGTTTAATTCAGATTTCAATAATGCTATTTTATAACGTTGTTCTTTAGAAGAGTTAGCTAATTGTGATGTCAAATAAAATAACCAACTCTGTAACTTTTTTTTTGTAAGAGTCATTTTTTCTCGTAAAATATGCAGATTTTGTTTATTTTTGCTATTGCTTGTGGGAGTTAGCTTTGCACTACTTACTGGAGATATAAAACTGATATTTTCTGATGATGCAACTGAAGAACAAGAAACAGTATCAATTGGACTAGAGGTAAGTGGCAATGGCTGTGAGACTGTCAGCACCAGGGCATGGAACACAAATGGCTTGTTGCAAAAGTCAGCTACATTAGTGGCATTTCTTGAAAAGTTATAAGACCGTTTTTTTACTACACTAAAAAATTTTTGGATTTGATTTTTGCAAGTGTTAATGCTAAAATGCTCATAAACTTGTGCAACAGTTTTATTAAATAACTCTCCGTTGTTAATAAATATAAATAGTATATGCCCATTTCTACAATCAATGCTCATTTTGGTAGCCAATGTAAAGTTAGCAATTATATATTTTTTTAAATTGCCAATAAGCATCATTTTTGTCTTAGGAGGCATGATACCTTTAAAAATTATAAAGTTATTTAATTGCATAACTAATGAGCAATTGGATAACTACATAAACTACTAGGATAACTACATAAACTACTGAATACTTTTGGTATATGTTCAAATTTTAAACCCACAACAGTTGGGTTTAAAATTTGAACTCTAAACACTTTCTATATAGCACAGAATTATGTTAACTTCTTTTTTGGTTAGATAAAGATATAGTTCTAAATAATGGCACATAAAGGCACTCAGATTTTGACCTTTTTATTTATATTTTTTAAATTATCATAACACCTTTTAACTTCAAGTTAAACATTTAAAGTAAAGTAATCACAAGTTAAAATTGTGATTATATCACAGGCATGATTACATCAGATATGTCATAAGTTAAAACATCCTAAACTCTTAAGAATGAGTTACATTATGTAGATCTTCAAATCAACTAACTTAAAACCTTTTTTTAATAATACAAAATGACAAATAATTCCTGATATAATACACTGACTAATTTTATAAAGTGCTTTATTATCTAAAAGATAATTTTTTTATAATTAAGTAATTTTTTATAATTAAGTTTGATATAATTAAGTAATAAGAATAATTTTTTTTATATTATAAAAAAAATTGTTTGTAAATATATGTTAATTAAACCTTTAGGCTCTACTCTTTCATCAACATCGAATGGATAACTCATTATAATTTAAGTAAATTAAATCTAAATCATATTAAATTGAACAGTTATCTATATTTGTATCAGATTATATTGCTAAATGTTGTTAATGAAATCCCCCTCATCCGCCCAGCGTTAAACTGTTAAAAAAAAAATTAGGTACCAAAAGTGCTAGTTAAAAAAATATATATATATTACATATATATATATATATATATATATATATATATATATATATATATATATATATATATATATATATATATATATATATATATATATTACATATATATATATATATATATTACATATTACATATATATATATATATATATATATATATATATATATATATATATATATATATATATATATATATGTATATATATATATATATATATCGGTGGGATCAGCGCAAAGAAACATAATATACATACCAATGACACCTTGTAAATATTTAAAATCTATTCTCTTTTGTTTTTTTTAAATCAGGTCAAGTTAAACTTTGTTTTAAATTTATTTGCCATCTACCTGTAAAATCAAAATAAATTTAATCGAAAAAAAAACAAAAAAAAAACAGTAAAAATACAATCAAATCACAAATCAATTAAATTAATGGAATACTCAAATCACAAATTAACAGAAAATAATGAAATCATGGCAAAAAAATGGTTATGGTTAAATGAAGGTTAGAGTTAGTAGACAAACCAATCTAGACCAGTCTATAAAAATGTGATTTGATACTCAACGGATATATTGAAATATTTAAAAAAAAAATAAGAAAAAAAGTTAGAAAAAAAGCTGTTTATAAACAGCTTTTTCTCTAACTTTCTTTTTTTTTATAAAATTTTAGCTGTTTTGAAGTCTGTTTATAAGAAATTTTAGCTCTAATATTAGCATGCTGTTTGCAACTTTTAATAGCTTTTTCTTTTTTTATAAGTGCTAACTTTTTTATAAATACTATAAATAAGAAAATAATAAATAACTAATAGAAATAAGTAAATAAATAATTATAATATTAATGATAATAATAAATAAAATAATAAGAAGAAATAAGAAATTGTTTAACAATTTGTCATCTATGCAACTTGATGATTTAGATAATTAAATTTTTTTACAGGTAATAGATGTGTAAAAAAAACTATTAGCAGAAACTTGTCATAAATGGTCAGGGCCTATTCTAGGAAAAAAAATTTATTGTATACTTTAGCTCCTATATTATCAAAACCTACGTCTATTTTTTTGCTTTTTTAACAAGTCTATTTTTTGCTTTTTAACTAAAAACTTAAATTTAAGCTGTTCTACTGTGCAAGCCATCTTTATTTTATCTTAATAATGCAGCAAAAAATTAAAAAAAAAATAATGCTAAAACAAAAATATCAACCTACTTTAGAGTTAGGGGCCATCCATAAAGTACGTACGCATGTATGGGGGGAGGGGGGGGGTTATCCTGAAACGTACGAATGCGTACAGGGGGGGGAGGGTGTTAACGACAGCGAGTACGTACGCGGTTTAACTATCTCTCCTAAACTTCTTTATAAAAACATTGAATTTCACGTGTTTTAATGTTTTTTTATAAAAACATTGAATTTCACGTTAAAAAATCATAATATAATATATGTTATTTTTTTTTCTGACTTCAATTACAATTGTTTTTTATTTTTCTTTATAAGTAACGAGGAGAGAAAAAATCGAGCTATAATATCTCCAAATAATGTTTTCCATTTTTTGCAACATAATTCGACTGTAGCAAGATGAAAAGTAACAAAACTGTAATCAAAGAAAACTTCTTCTGAATTCTTTTTTTAATTACGAACCTGGTTTTTCCCATTTCTCTTAAAAGGTTAATATTTTGTTTTTAAAAAACAATAAAATAAAAAAAGGTAATATTATTATTTTTTTTATCATTGAAGTTAATATTAACATACATTAAGATTGCTAAGGACAGGCGAAGCGAAATGAACATACATGTGACAATGCATATGACAATCATTGTGATAATTGTAAAAAATAGTTACTTTAAATGCTGATGGAAACCAACACTTTTTATGATGCAATGTAACGGCAATTATCTTGAGTAAACTAAAACAAAAAAAACTTTTATGATTCTATTCGAAAACTCAATACGCCTCATTGGAAAAAAAACTTATTATTTATTATGACCAAGATGCCGCGCGGGAACGAGAAAAAATACCTTCAATTCCTTGAGTTATATAAAAAAGCATATTCAACACTTGAAAAACAAAAGCAGTATCAGCAAGCACAAGAGTTGTGGAAAATAGTAAAAAACAATGAATCCTTGTATGAAAAAAAAAATAAATGAGTTAAAAGAGAAAGTAACAAAGTCGAAAGTATCACTTATGTCATTCTGGGGAAGTACCATTTCACCACCTAGCAAAAAGAAAAAAGATATCCATCCAGCGCCGTCTTCGTCAAATGAAACACGAAGTTTCCTAAATGCAACTACGACAGAGCCTGCAAGGATTGAAATTAGTAAGCTAATTTCTGTAATATTTTAAAAACTTTTTCTCTCTTGTGATTTTCTATACATTAGGCCGGGTGAATAAAAAAGAGCAATTGCTTTTTCTCAGTAACTGTTCAGCTTTGCGTGAATAAAAATTTGACCAAGATTGCTCAAATTTTTATTCACGTAAAGCTGAACAATTTACTCCAACAACGCTCAACTTTACGTAAATAGAAATTTGAGGATAATTGCTCAATTTTTTATTCACGTAAAACTGAACAATTACTGAGTAAAAGCAATTGCTCTTTTTTATTCACCCGGCCTACTGAGTTTAACCGTATTGTAAATCAAACTACGTCGTACGACCTTAGAGCAGTCACAGAAATTTATAATGTTGACCACTAGACCTATTTTTCTATATCCAAAATAAATTGATTAGTAGTAATTGTCAAGAATTTATAATAGCTTATTTTTTGGCATTTTTTAATTTAGATTTAACAGACAACAAAAAAGAAAGAGAAAAACCGGCACAAGTTAGGAGTCGAAAGAAAATCTCAGATCTTGAATCACAACGTGCATCCTTGATAGTCGTACGTGATTCTGGTTTATCTACCGTAACAAAGGAACAAATAAACACTGTGAAAGAAACCATAAGAAAAGAAAAAACAAAATTGTACAGGTAAGATAATTTAGTTATGTATTTCTTTATTTGATATTTCATTTTAGAATGCTTAACTGTCAGGTTTCTAGTAAATATCAAGAGATATATGTTAAATAATACAGAGTTTATTTATGCGTATAGAAAAGCGTCTTGGCTATAAAAACCAAACATTTTTAAAGACAGAAACTTTCATAATCTTATTGTAAATAATACTTTCTTATTTGAAATAAGAATTTGCGTACTTTTTCTTTTGCAACATTAGCCAAAAGTTGCGAAACCTTAAGTATAGAAGTTTTTATAACGGAATCAAAGCTTTACTGATATTTCGTTTTCAGATTGATTCGTGAATCAGCTCGTCAAAGAAAACGAAGACAAAAACTTAAAGAGAGCATCGAAACTGTGTGTCAGAACATCCCTGAAGCATCAAGTGCTTTGAAACAGTTTAGTTGAAACCATACTGGACGACCGCGTCCCGAAGTTGACCAACCAGAGCTTTTATCAACAATTATAAAAATTGTGCAAAATTTATCAGCAGCTGACGAACGTCGAAGAACAGAATGTCTCCGTAGCGTCTCCACTTTAGATGACCTTTATATCTTATTTACCTTTTTATTATCTATAATTTTATATAGTTATACTGTTATGTTTTATCTGTTTGTTACCCTTTGTAATACTCAGTATTACAAAAAGGGTTAAAGTTTAACCCTTACAAACTACAGGTATTATAACCTATTATATTATAATAGGTTATAATACCTGTAGTTTCATCACATTTTAGTTTAAACTTATACCAACCAACTGTTGTGTTATATTTTAATTTTTTACTGCACATTTCACATTTCAATTCAGACGATGGACAAAAACATACTTTATTCAACTTGATGGAATTTCATTCACACAAACAACACAATTTCTTATTTATTGTCTTTTAACTAAATAAACCAAAACATACTGGTCAACACAATAGTTTTATAATTATATACTTTGATTATATATTTGACAAATATATAAAAACATCTTTAAATGATTTAAATATTCATCTTTAATCCACCATTTTTATATAAAACAGGGTTCCCACTATTAAAACTAAGGCTAAAATTAAGGATTTTAAGGAGATTTAAGGAGATATTTTCTTAAAATTAAGGAGATTTTGGTTGCGAACGACATTTTTTTGAAAGAAAAAGTAAGGATAATTAATGAGAAAACGTTTACATTAAAAACATAATCTTATTTTTTGAATAAATTTTAAATATAAACAGAGAAATTATTACTTTATATATATATATATATATATATATATATATATATATAAACTTTAATATATATATATATATATAATAACAAAAAAAGGTTTGAAAACTATCAAAAATCTATACATTATCTTCTTTATTAACAAGTATAATCCATTCACTTTTAAAAAAATTTTTAAATGATTAAAAAATAATAATAATAATAAATAGAAATTAAAGAGAGCAGTCAAACTTTAACTTTTTTAAAGTTTATTTAAGTTCATTTAAGGAGGTTTTTATTTTTTAAGGATATTTAAGGTTTTTAAGGAGGTTTGGAACCCAGTAAAATATGCTACGTAGAGTATTGTACACAATGTAAAAAGACTTAAAAAAATTGTGTATAATTCAAATTATTATTAATTTTTTTTAATTATACATATTTTCATAGCAAAAAAATCTTTTAATGTTTTCACTTTTATTACATTAACACATTAAAAGTTTTTAAAGAACTTTCCCACATCTATGTGCAATATAAAATTCTATTTAATTCCGAATTCGTACATTTGCGTCGGCGAACTCTCGTATCTAAATTTCAATGTCATTTCAACGTTATTTCAACTTTTGTTTTTCAACGTTATTTCAACTTTTGTTTTTCAACGTTAATTTAACGTTTATTTTTAGTTAAAAAGAAACGTTGAAATTCCAACGGTTTTTTTTTTTTTAAAGTTGAACTAACGTTGAAATAACGTTGAAATTTAGATCGTTATTTTTCAACCTTATATCAACCATTTCACAACGTTGAAATAACGTTAAAATAACGTTATGTGCTTGCTGAGTTCCATGAAAAGCTAATCCTTAAGTACAAAATAATTGCACAATACAAAGAGAGGAGTTTAAGCTAAAGTATTTGTTTTAAAACAAGAGTTTGTACTGTATTTGTGTTCAACTTATTTTTTTCAAGAAAAGGCTAAACTTTAATTAAAAATGGTCATTTTGACGTACTCATACTGGTACTTGGTTGTAAATTAATTCGCTCTTAAACAGAAAAAGTAACAGCAAGTTTCATCAGGAATGTCTTTTAAATCTTGAGACTGTGATTTTTCTCCTAAAATCTTCTTCATCTAAAGTACAAGTTGTTTTAGTTTCTGTTTGTTATGATGTATAAAAATGGTTAAATATAAACCAAACACCTAACATCAAGAGAAGAATATTATAAAAATAGTACACGATTAAAGCATAAATAACGATAATCTATAAACTTTCTAAATTTTTATTATTTTGTGTTTATTAACTAATTTGTTAGTAATAAAGGCACTCTTATACCAAATCTTACAATTAATACTACAACTGTTTCATTGTAGCACTGAGCAAAAATGTACAAATTCAGTATTGTAACATATTCAAATTTGGCGCCCCTAATATATATACATCTAAGTATTTGTACACATATTGAAGCCCAAAATTATATTTAATTTTTTTTTTTACAAGTCAAAAATATGGTTTAAAAAAATTAGAAAGAAAAAAAAAATGTAGGCTACACGAGACTGGCGCCCCAAAAACCCTAGCGTAATTCGTATAGCCCTTGCGCCGGCCCTGAGTACTATACTTACTTACAAATACTATTACTTACTATAGTAAAAACCTAAAGTTTAGGTTTACAATTATCATTATTATGTTGTGTTATCTAAAACTACACAATATAATAATAATAATAGTATTAATAGTATTATTATTCTTGCTATTACTATCATTATAATAATAATAATAATAATAATAATACAACAATAATGATAGTAATAATAACAACAACAATAATAATAATCATAATTTAAAAACATAAAAATGAGGAAAATACCTGGTGGGCATCGACATCCAAAGCCGTCTAAGGTCGTTTAATACCCACTGGGTAGGCATACGTATAAACTCTCTAGTTTATTCATTACATAACACTAAAGTGTTACTTGCTTATCTGACAAATAACTTTTTTTTAATTTTATAATTGTGTAATTGCTCTATTTCTATAAATATATTGTTAAGTAACTTAATGCTTAACTTAAACATAACTTAAGTTTATTAAAATGGTTCGTTGCCCAAATATAAATAACAATTATAAATATATAGTGTGGTTATATATAATTACAATCATAATATATATTTGAATTGGTGAATGTTAAAATGGTGGAAGTCCAACTATGTAAACTTTCAGGAAACTAAAAAAAAACTGCTTTTTCCCTCGTAGTAAATTTTGATTAATGGTTTGATAATTTTTTTTAACAGGATAATGTTTATCACCTTCAAAAAAAATTGTTGAACCATTTACTTTACATTAAAATGCATTTACAAAATGCATTTTTTTTTTTAGTTTCCCGAAAGTTTACATTATTGGACACCCATTTAGTCTTTTAGCATTTTTCCGCCCTTTTAGTGTTTACCGATTTATTTATAGTTGCTATAGGGGAAGTGGGGGTACCCGGATCGAGGGGCACAGTGAATAAGATGCATTTTCTCAAAGATTAGAATATTGTTCATCTTGATAATGTAATAATTTTATGTGCTCATATATTAGCCATCTTTTTTATAATTGTTACCACATAATTTTTGTCTACCGGTTTTTGGTAGATTGAGCCTTTTGCTTTTACCGGTTTTTAGCTAACTAAATTAAATTTTTCTACCTTCCTTATGTTTGTTATGGAGACCATGGTTAAAATAATTTGAAAAGTTGAAGTTTTTCATTTAGATTATTAATATTTATGCTTCCTTTTAGTAGTTTTAACTTTTCTTTTAACAACACTCATGTCTTAAGAAATTAGACTTAAACTTAATTTGTTTTGGTGGGGCACAGTGAATTAGGGTACAGTGAATAGGTTGATTCAACGTGCCCTATTAATGATCTTAATAATTAAATTCATGCATTTTTAACAAACAAACTACATGAAAATGAATTTTTTATTTTTAAGTTATGAATAATAATATTTGAATAATTTTTCAATTTTTTTAATATTTTTATAAGCTTTGTAATAAATAAAAAATTTTTGCTTCTGAATTTTAAAAATGTCTATTTTTTCAATTTTATACTAATCTAATTAATAAAAATATGCCAAAAGTATAGTGTATAATGTCTTTACTCATAGTTATTTGGCTATGCCTCTATTCACTATCATTAATTTACAGTTGCGTTCATTGATTCACTGTGCCCCAGTACTGGGGTACTGTAAATAACGTGACACAACTCACTTTAAACCTTTCTGTGAGGCTTTAGTTAATAAATATTTTGGTTTTAGTGATTAATTATCATGAAGTACATATATCTCTATCGTTTTGTCTTAAAATTAGTAAAATAAATATTTTAACTTTTAATCAATTTAAAAAATAAAGAAATCCGATCCATTGTACTCCAAAAAAAACTTATAAATTATGCATTTATTTTAAAATGACTTAAAACACAAACTATTTTACTGTCAATGACCATATATTAACTGAATTTTTTGGAAAAACCAAACATTCTATAATCGATGACAAGTTTATACTCCACTTTAAGAGCCTCTTGAAATGACTTCTGCTTGTCTTATTGCAGTAGAAAATATTTTAAGTAGATAATGTAACAGATATTTTTCACTTACTACTACAAAATCATTTATAGAGAAGAAAGAGATTACAAGACTTCACAATATAAATAGTGAGAGGTTTTTAGATATGTTTAGCAATGTCAAAGTAGGGCTCCCTAATGCAATATATAGCTATATCTTTTGCAAACTAAGTTCTTTAAAAAAAAAAGGACTGTGAATTATCTAGAAAAGTAGTTAAATGATCAATTGACGTAGCACGTTTTTTACTACTATTAATTTATAATTACAAGGTAGAATATTTTAGTCGATACTCAATAAAAAAAAAAAATCTTAGGTTAGAGGGGTAGTGGTTAATTGAAATTAAAAAGATTTTCCCACTCCTCCCAACAATAGTGGTAGTGGAAAGTAGTATGCTAGTGTAAATGATGTATATATATTCGCAAGGTTAGAACTATTTTGTTCTATCTCCATGTTTTTCCAAACAGAGAAAATCAAGTTCAAAATTTGGACCTGTAGTCCAAATAACATAAAAAACGCAAACAAAACCAATTTATATTAATTTCCTATAGAGGCTACCACAGTTTCAAAGAAATTGTTTTAAAATATTTAAAGTGCAGGTACATGTAAAGTACATATCTGTTTTATTAGAAAAAATCTTATTTTACACTAGTAAACAAATTACATAAACACGCTATTTTGTCTAAAATTCAATTCAATAGAGAAGATAAGTCATATATTGTCTAAAGTATGTACCAAGATCTACATAACAAAATAAAACTTTAGTTATAAATTCTAAAAGCATACCAAAAAAGTATACTAAAAAAACTAAAAGCAAACATC